TAAACAAGGCAGTTAATTATTGGAACGCACATTAAAACAACCTTTAAAATAAACACAGAATATAATCATAGCTGTATTTATAGATATACATTTTTTTCAAACCTGTCCCCCATTACTCATTCGGTGAACTTAAGAGTCGAGGGCAATCGTGGACTATGAGTTCATATCTACGACCGTGGAAGTTCAAATTTGGTACTTGATAGCTTCCGCTCTGCGGGAGCGTTATCTTGATGACGCTTTGACTGCGAAAATCGTTTAAAACTTCAGTCGTGAAGACAACCCTGCGATGAAACATTCGGCGATTGTAACTTTGCGCGCGCGCATAGGGGTGTTTATTCGCGCGTGTGTGCGTGCGGGAGCGGTGGCGCAGCGGTTAGCGCCACTACGCCGCGAACGCAGAGACTCTCCTGACGAACATCATGGGCATGCGATTCATTATCTGAAAGAGTTCTGGGGCCTTCTGCGGGGTTGATTTAACCACGGGATACACTGGGGGATACAAAGGCGGCTGGTAGTGGTGTTAGCCACCCCACCTCCCTTTGTGCGCCGTGTCGGCCTTCATAGGGTCGGTAACAGCCCAAAGAGTTTGTACAAAGGCTATACAGAGGGTCTTTGTCTTATGTATTGTACACGCACGCGCACGCACTCCATTCGGGAAGTTTAACTCGTACCTTGAGATGTTTCCAGGCGATTCGGGGATGACGAGATTGTTGTTATTCTGTGCGTGGGAGGAGGTGGTCATCGGAGCAGCCGAAGAAAACCAGCGCGCGATTTCAATTCAAGTTTCATATTTCCACTTTGTTGTTGTTTGGAGCGAAACGTCGGGCATCGTGCCAAACAACACGCCGTTCCAAGCAGAATACACATCGGAGAGCTTCGGGCGAATGGCTTTGCATCGTCATTATTATCATCATCATCAACACCATCGTCATGATCCACGGTTACTCCACTGCTGGATGAAGGCTCTCCCCTACCCCCAAGGCTCTGCTGTCGCCATCTCTCTCGAGCCTGTGCAGTAATACCCCAACTCGGCACGGGATTGTTTTGTATCTCGTGATAGAATGCGTGCCACGTTATGCACTTCAATGACTTTTGGTAAGTAGTAATAATACAAATAAGAATAGTTTACAATATTATGTATTTACCTAGGAAGGCCCACACCGAGACTCAATGCTAACCGAGATGTTTAAGTTAAATTTCGTGCCTTTTTAAAATAGTTTTACCGAATACAATAATTATTACGGCACTTCTAATCTCATCTTATATTTTATACATATATAGAACGCCCGCATTCCAGGCGCTTAGCTATAGTTTTAAAAACTTTGACGAAATAAAGAACAAATTATTTAATACGCTTTCACTACACAACGCATAGTCACAAACACGGAATAACCGTCCCGCGCTATATAATTACGCACGAATGCATTAACGCCGTTTAAATATACATCGATTACTTTTCTAGATTTGAAGCTTTCGTGATTGCAAGGATCCGTACTCTTTGGTTCTATTCGGTAAAGTCACGTAGGTAAAAACAAATAAAAAATTTAAATAAGACATTAAAACACGACGTTTCGGAGGCAACACAAGCTTCCGTCTTCAGGTGGAAACAGTGCAGCGATTTTTTTTTATGTATCGATAACTTTCATGACTGAGAACGTTCAAGTTATTTGTCTCAATCAATATACTCGGACGTTCCTTGCAGGAGATGGAGCGATTGGGATCGGCCAATGTGCAGGCGAGAGGACTTCCATCCAGCAGTGGATCGACAATGGCTCAGTGATAGAATAGCAGCATCCATAATGGCGTAGAGCCCTATTAAAACACGACTTTCTGCTCCCGAAGTTTTAAATACATTCAGTATCAATATACACACACACGCGCGCAGAGGGAGATCGAGTTACAGTTGTACAATGATTTCCCGTGCCTTTGTAGAAAACCTACTCGTTTTCTCGGCGTGTTCATGTTTAATGAGGAAGGTTCATAAACTATCACGATAAGGAGGTTTAAGAGAGCGAGTGAGTGAGCTGCAGACGAGCAAGCAGGTGCCTGCCAGCCCGTCCTACGAACGGGGTCAGTCTATTTTCTCTCCACCACAATCCATAACATCGAGTCGTGTTTGCACCTCCGGTCAGCACGGTTGGCCACGTACGGTGCGAAAGAAGTTCAACGAACATAATATTATTACAATTAATGACGTTTCTGTTTTTGTCGTGTTCGCTCTCTCGTGTAGGTAGAGAGAGAGAGAGAAGGGACCACTCAGGGTCACCAGGAGGAGGAGGAACCACAGACGTTTCTGTTTTTGTCGTGTTCGCTCTCTCGTGTAGGTAGAGAGAGAGAGAAGGGACCACTCAGGGTCACCAGGAGGAGGAGGAACCACAGACAAGCGGGGGAGGCAGCAGAGGCAGCAAGACCGGTGAGGAGCCGGCGCGATCACCAACAATTATTATTGCCCGCGCTCTGCGGATCTCTCTGTATTCATATATTGATCAGCAGATTCATGAGCGAGAACGTAGTCGATAGCAAAGGGCGCCCCCCCCTGAGTTCCTTCCGGTCCGAATGGTCACTTGAAGTGGCCTCTGTGGTAGTTCGATGCGATGAAGCGAGCCAAGTGATGTGATTGACAAACTTACAAATAATAATAACGACGATGATGATGCACACAATGTTTCACAGACGTAAATGAGCGTGACTCCCAAGCTCGGGTAGGGTATATCGAATGAATGGCCTCTATCCGCAACGAGTGATGACGAACCGATAACCGGTACAGGTGTAATCGGTAACCGTTTTCACCTTCGATTTATGCGCTTCCGAAAAGTCGGCTGCCGGGGGGAGTCGTGTCCGGTGAGACGTCGCCGCGTGTGATTAACATTTATATTGCTACAATTTATTATTTCTAAAAGTTAACCATGCGATGTTTTTTTGCTCTCCATATGCTCGGGAGAAGAACACAAGCTTTTTGGTTTTTTTTAAAGGTTGTGTTACAGTTAATGCAAAACAAAATTTGTAACTAAATACCCATTGAGAAGAGGCCATATATGTCTATTTCGCTAGAAATAAATGCACGTGTTTGTATGCATGATCATGTGTGCATGTATGGGTGTATGTGTGTACATGGATGAGTGTTCGTGGTGGATGTACGTACGCATGGCATACGTGTACGCGTGTACATACATGTGCATATACCCATACTCACCAGATGGCAATACTTTTAAGCTCCGCTCACTCCGCGCTTTCAGAACTCTCCCCGTCGGCTCGATACGTGTGCACGTGTACCGGCCCGCGTATGGCACGTGGCGTGAAACGTCTACTACAAGTGCCGCCATGGGCTTGGGCAGGAACTTCGAAGGTATAGGAGGAGCACGGCAGACGATGAACGTCAGCCGTCACGTCGCAGGATCGTCAAGAGATGTAGCGACGGCGTTGCGGATGTCCATCATCCAGCAGTGGATTGACCGTGGTTGGTGGTGATGGTGATGGCGATGGCGTGGAGAGGCCTTCGCCCACTGCTCATGGTGATGGTGTTACGCGAGGTACATCAGCTCATCAAACACGAACCTCAGCATTCCACCCACGATGGCTGAACAATGCGCACGGGGATTCCCCGCAGCCCCCTCGGAAGGCCGCAGACGGCGCACTCGGGGTTGGTGTGGCTAGCACCACGCCCGGCCGCCTTTGTCTCCCCAATGTTGATTTTTTTTTTTAATCTTCAACCGTATTGGTACTAATTTAAAGGCTGAGTCGACCTAGGGGGAGGGCCCAGGATCGGACCAGGACGGGACCGGTTGAGGCGTTCCGCAATCGTCTGGTCGGCGTTTTCCCCTGAGCGGAAATCAAACTCGGGCGGCTGTTATTGTCCCTGCAGTTTGTAGCGAAGTGCCGCTAAACCACGACTCTGCCGCTCTCTATTCAAACACACACACAACGCACTCTGTCTTGTCTACAGGATAGACATTCTCACTCGCTCGCTCTCTCTCTCTCTCTCCGCATTCTCTCCCCTACTGGGTCTATGGCCACAGGCACGTGACTGTGAGTTGGCGACGCGGTTTCGTCACGGGCTGGTCACGAATTCATTTATCGCACGCGGAAGCACTTAAGCGCAGCGAGCTGAGCGCGCGACCGATATTAATCACTCCTCGTCGGCATTCGCTCCGCACACCCGCGACTCGTGAACTCGCTCTCTCGCTCTCCCTCCCTCCCTCTCTCTTGTCCTGCGTGCCAATTAATTAAGAGCGGTGCAAGGACGATGGGGGCCGTGTGATACCTGTCACGTCTCGGTGAGAGTGCGTTACGGTGTGCGCGCGTGCGTGTTTATGAATTGGCACTTAGTGGCGAATAGCGGTTGTTGTTGTTGTTTAGGAATTGTAAAGTGTACGAACACCCTTTTGCATGCCATTCAGTCTGAGTTCCGGTATAGTGTCAAAGTATACTATTCCGTTTCGTCACTTCTCAAGAGTGTCTTATCTGCGGTAGTGTGGGTACACGTGGGAGGGAGACAAAGGCGGCCGGACGTGGTGCTTGACTACTTGATTGTCCTTGTTGTACCGTCCCCGCCTTCACGTAGGCGCTCGCTCACAGCTCTTACCCCACAGCCTGTGGAGGGCTGTACGGGGGGGGGGAGGGGGTGACGGGTGGGTCTTTGTCTATGTGTTTGTATGTACGTGTATACGTATAGATTTAGATAATAATTGTACGTGTAATTGTTAATGCACCTCATAAGCACGCTCATACTCGCACAGCTTATATATGTCTGCGGTTAATTAGCGTGGTGCGTAGATTGCGGAGGGCGGTATTACTTTGTCATGCGAAGTTTGTAGTGTAGTGTTTACATGCAACATATGTGCACACGTGTGCAGGGTTTGTGTGGGGAGCGGTGGGGTTAGTGGTTAGCGCACTACGCTACGAATCCGGCGACCTCAGTTCGATGGCCCGCTCACGGATAACATCAGTGGCGAATATCTGAACCGGTCTTGGGCCACCCCGAACCCCCTAGGTAGACTCAGCCTTAAATCAAGTACCTGGTGCGATGTGTAAAATATCAGCACTGGGGAGACAAAGGCGGCCGGGCGTGGTGGCCACACCACAACCTCGTGCGCCGGTCCGGCCGTGATAGGTGCTCGCAAACAGCACTTGCCCACAGCATCCTGGAACAAAAAGCCTACGGGGGCACCTTTGTCTTTGGCATGTTGTTGGTTCACATGTCCCATTTACATGTGTATGTAGCCACACGTGCGTTCCGTAATTATTTCGTTAAGCGTAGTGTGTGTATACATGCCGTAATGCGCGTTCGGATATTGGTAATATTCACGTATGTAATCATGTGATATAGGAGTTTATTACATTTATTAAAATCTAATATACATAATCATATACATTCAGTAGTCCTACACACAATAGTCCTATATCTAAACCTATATAATATACATATACTATATGTGCAGGTCACAATATTTTAAAATACAAATGCATACAAATGTATTCCTTTTCACGTGCGCATCATGCTAATAACGCACAAGCCACACTATTATACAGTGCTCATAACATGCACATGTGCGTACATCACCCACGACAGATACAGTGCGTAAATATTATCGCATACTCACGAACACACTACATATGTACACACGTGCCCGTGTAGGTTGTGTACACACAGCACGTACGCGTAAACACATTCGCGCATCAAGTTTGAAGTGGTATTACGTGTACATACACGCGTGTATTCACACACAAACTGCAGCACGCATACACACACACACATCTGTGTGTACGCGATACATACATGATGGGCACGCACACCACGTAATACATTCACACACACACAATCTGAGCTCCCGTCTATAGTCATGCACAATAACACACGCGCGCGCATACACACATAGCGACGTAGACAAAGATCTCCCGAATAACATTTAACAGACTGTTGGGGCGAGGGTTGTACAGAGGTACAATAGACACACACACATGTACATACGTAAAAATACGCACGCGAATTCACAAACTCGCAACTAATTCATACACACACAACAGCGAGACGCATAAATACATAAATACACACATGTACATACATGTACACACATGTACATACGTGTACATACATGTACACACATGTACATACATAGTGCAACTTTTACAGCAAGCTTTTCACTATTAGATGTGACGACACAGCAAGTGACGCAACAACCGTCGTCATAACAGTCGCACAACGGTCACAACTGTCGTCATAACAGTCGCACAACGGTCACAACAGTCGTCACAGTAGTCACAACAGTCGGCATAACAGTCGTCATAACATGTCGTCATAACAGTCACAGTAGTCACAACAGTCGTCATAACAGTCGCACAACGGTCACAGTAGTCACAACAGTCGTCACAACAGTCGTCACAACAGTCGCACAACAGTCGCACAGTAGTCACAACAGTCGTCATAACAGTCGCACAACGGTCACAACTGTCGTCACAACAGTCGTCATATCAGTCGCACAACGGTCACAACAGTCGTCATATCAGTCGCACAACGGTCACAACAGTCGTCACAACAGTCACAGTAGTCACAACTGTCGTCATAACAGTCACAGTAGTCATAACAGTCGTCATAACAGTCGCACAACAGTCGCACCCGAGTTACACAACAGTCGCACAAGAGTCAACGATCACCCAACAACAACCACAACAACAACCGGACAGCTGAACAAACCTTCTCGTTGTTGCATAACGACGGCGTGGTCGCATCCAAGAAGTTCCACAAACTCTCGAAACTCCCCACACCCATCCAAGAATTTCCACAAACTCTCGAAGTTCCACAAACCCATCCAAGAAGTTCCACAAACCCATCCAAGAAGTTCCACAAACCCATCCAAGAAGTTCCACACACCGTCCAAGAAGTTCCACAAATTATCGAATAAGTTCCACAAACCCATCGAAGAAGTTCCACAGACCCCATCGCCCGTGGACTGCATCCCCACCCCCGAGCGCTTTGCGTTCCACCGCGACCCCTGCCACCGACGACTGCGGCCTTAGGAGAGGGGACAGCGACTCGCGACGTTTTTTGTTGTTGCTCTGTGACAAGGGGGGGTGGTGGTGGGGTGGTTTCAGATCGTGCGACGTCTTAGCGCACGCACGGGCAATGAGCTGCTGCTGTCACCCCGCGTACGAGACGGAGGTTGGATTCATCAACAGCACGCCGACTCTGGCCGAATGTTTCACTCCGATACCCCCCGCGATGCCGCCATCATCATCAATCACTCCTCCTCCTCCTCCACCTACTCATCCTCCTCCTCGCGTACACTTTCATCCTCAACCGCCACCTCTTCTCCGTCCTCCTCCTCCTCCGCAACAACAACAACATCATCATCCTCTTCCACCACCCCCGTCGCTCCCGACAACATCGTCAACGTCGTCTTTGACGTCTCCACGCCAAAGGCGGCGATGCCGCCGACGCCGCCGTCGCCACGCGAACGAAGATTTTGGAAAACATTGCGGAGAGAACGCGACTCGAGCGGAGGAGGCTGGCGGTTCTGGTGGTTCTGGTGGTGGTGGTGGTTCTGGTGGAGGTTCTGGTGGAGGTGATGGTGGAGGTGGTGGTGGTGGAGGTGGTTACCCGTGGATGCGAGCGAAGAAGTGCGGAGGGAAAAAGTCGTGCGGGATGATCGCAGCTGCAGAGCACGCGGAGCGGAGCGGGGATGGAGGAGGTCACGGTAAGGGCAATGGACGTGCACACACACACAGCTCATACACACACAGCTCACATACACACACACACAGCTCACATACACACACATACAGCTCACATACACGTACAGTTCATACACACACATGCAGCGCAAACACACACATACAGCTCAAACACACACATACACAGCTTATACACACACACACATACAGCTCACACACACATACAGCTCATACACACACATACACAGCTTATACATACACACATGCAGCTCATACACACACAGCTCACATACACACACAGCTCACATACACAGCTCACATACACACACACAGCTCACATACACACACACATACAGCGCATACACACACATACAGCTCATACACATACACAGCTTATACATACACACACACAGCTCATACACACACACAGCTCATACACACACACAGCTCATACACACACACAGCTCATACATATAGACACATACAGCTCATTCACACATACAGCTCATATACACATAGATATCATACACACAGACGCATACAGCTCATACTCACACATACATAACTCATACACCCACACATACAGATCATACACACAGACATATACAGCTCATACTCACACATACAGCTCATACACAGCTCATACACACACATACAGCTCATACACATACACAGCTCATACACACAGATAGCTTATACACACACATACAGCTCATACACACACATACAACTCATACACACACAGCTAATACACACAGACAGCTTATACACACACGTACATGTCATACAGCACACATACAGCAAAGACATACACACGTACAGCGCATACACACACATACAGCTCATACACATACATACAGCTCATTCACACATACAGCTCATACACACATAGATATCATACACACAGACGCATACAGCTCATACTCACACATACATAACTCATACACCCACACATACAGATCATACACACAGACACATACAGCTCATACTCACACATACAGCTCATACACAGCTCATACACACACATACAGCTCATACACATACACAGCTCATAAACACAGATAGCTTATACACACACATACAGCTCATACACACACATACAACTCATAGACACACAGCTAATACACACAGACAGCTTATACACACACGTACATGTCATACAGCACACATACAGCAAAGACATACACACGTACAGCGCATACACACACATACACCTCATACACACACAGTTCATACACACATACAGCTCATACACGCACAGCTCATACACATATAAAGTTCATACACACAGCATATACACACGCATACACAACTCATACTCACACAGATACATCTCATACACATACAGCGCATACACACACATACAGCTCACACACACACAACTCATACACAAACAGCTCATACACACACACCTACATCTCATACACATACAGCTCATACACACACACAGCTCATACACACACACATTCATACACACGTACATACAGTTCATACACACACAGCTCACACACACACACACAGCTCATACACACACACACACACAGCTCATACACACACACAGCTCATACACACATACATTCATACACACACGTACATCTCATACACACATACAGCTCATACACATACACAGCTCATACACACATAAAGTTCATACACACACAGCATATACACACGCATACACAACTCATACTCACAGAGATACATCTCATACATATACAGCTCATACACACACACATACAGCTCATACACACACAGCTCATACACACATACAGCTCATACACACACAGCTCATACACACACACACAGCTCATACACACACACAGTTCATACACACACATACAGCTCGCATACACACACACACAGCTCACACACACACACACAGCTCACACACACATACAGCTCATACACACATACAGCTCATACACACATACAGCTCATACACACAGCTCATACACGCAGCTCATACACACACACAGCTCACACACACACACAGCTCACACACACATACAGCTCACACACACACATTCATACACACACATTCGTACACACACATACATCTCATGAATATATGAAACGGCAAGAGCTACCGTTCACCACTAAGTGGCGGGGATGTCACCACGGCGCTTGTGCCAGGCTAGGTGCACAATCACACACAGACACGTGGAGCAACACATCCACACTGTTCACATTCCTCTTTTTCATGACCGATCATCCTCGCAGCAGCAGCAGCGGCGGCGACTTTTGGCTGTTCGCCATCAAACAAAGGCGGAGGTCACCGCATCGCGCGGCGCTTTCAGACGCGCTTCTGCGGCCGTCTGGAACGTTCTTCCTCCTTCCGATATGAGGAAGCCACCGGAGCTATGCGCTTTAAAATCATCATCTAGATCGACAAACTCGTTTCTTTAGAAACTGTTTGTGTGTGTGTTTAGTTTGAATGTCCTTCCCCCGAACCTCCGATTAGCGGGGTTGGCTATGTACGGTGCGAAAGAAGTCAAACGCGCATACATGATTTGCATAGCACTAATTTGCAACATCATGTGCATCAATTAATTGCAGCAAATATGGGTCACCGCATCGCCCGCCTTCCGAAGACTCTTTTTGTTTCAAGAGCATCCCACTAACCACGAGTACGTTGGGCCAATCCAGCTCGTGGCGGTGCAAAAGAAGTCCAACGTGCAGCACATACAATACTGCGCCTGCCTGTGTAACCTCCTCTGTGCACTTATCCGGATATCAACGAAGGCGTTTGGCGCCCGTGCTAAAGTGCTGACGGCTAAAGACAACGCCCGCGAATGTCTGTGTCCGGTGCGCCGATGCGGGACACAGAGCGACAGGGAGACAGACCGCAGTAGAATATAGGGAGAGGGGGTGGGGGGATGGAGAACGATGCGATAGACATATGGATGATACAAGGGACAGAATTGAAGTATGATTGTGATCACTGCCCGGTGCGCGTGTGTGTGTGTGGAGGAGGAGGAGGAGGTGGAGGAGGAGGGACTTGGTTTGTATTTTCTTCAGATCCATCACTCCTCCACAGCTGTCACCCTCTGTATAACCACACACTCAACCACACACACACTCACTCAACCACAAATACAAAGATCACCCCCCCCCCTTCCGTGAAGCCTTAACAGATTTTTTTTTGGGGGGGGGGCAAGTGCTGTTAGCGAGCACCTATGAATGCCGACACGGCACAAGCGGGGGTGGGTGGCCAGCACCACGCCGGGCCGCCTTTGTCTCTCGTGACGATGTTTACACGTGTATGCACGTTGAACTTCTTTCGCACCGTACGCAGCCAACCGTGCTAATCGGAGGTGCGTGGGAAGAAAGGCCTAACAAACTAAACACAAAAGGGCGTTTCTCAAGAAAGGAGTTCTCAATCGAGATTCAAACGTGCCACAGCTCCCAGTGGCTTCCTCGTATCGCAAGGAGGAAGAGGGCGTTCCAGACGGCCCCAGAAGCGCGTCTCAAAGCGCCGCGCGATGCGGTGACCGCCGCCTTTGTTCGACGGCGAGCAGCCGAAAGTCGCCGTCGCCGCCGCCGCCGCTGCTGCTGCTACGAGGATGAGCGAGAATTGTCGTGACGATGATTGTCGCTCCTCCTTGTCGAGATGGACACAGCTACTGTGGTTCGGTTAGTGGCGAGCGCTCTGCGTGTCACGAGTGCGACCTGACAAAAGCTCAAAAACAACAACAACAACAACAACGGCTCGTCAACCCGAACAACACGACAGAATAATTCGGAGATAAAATAACTCACAGCAACAGTGAAAGGAAACACGTACACAGAGGGAGCATACGTACATACATGTATACATGCTTGCAGTTACTCTATGATGTACGTATGCTTGCAGTTACTCTATGATGGGCTCTGTGTGTGTGTCTCTCTCTCTCTCTGCCTGTAGTCACAATTAATGTAGATCACCATCATCACCATCAGGGATCCTTGCCTGTAAACATCGCGACATCCGTTTAAGACGTAGCAGTAGTAGTCGGCTTTCGCGACCAATATCATCCATAATACAGGGGGGTTTTGTTGTTGTCTGTGGCACGTTTGAATCTCGATTGACTATATAACCATCAATCTCGCCATCCACCACTGCTGCTTCAAGCGAGCTCCACGAGACCGCCGCGAACGTCGCAAACCCGACCCACAGTTCTGTTCGCTGCTGATACACCACGCGGTCCAAACCAAAAAAGAAGAAGGCCAATGTGGCTGATGGGATGTTTAAAAAAAAAAAATATTTTATAAATATATACACAACGTGTGTATATTTCACGTGGAGGGACGGATGTTTGAAAGAGGCGTATCGTGCACTGAGCTATTTCACTCCCGACAGAAGTTCATCCGCTGTACCCTGCACCTCGTATTAATCATCCTCAGCGGCGTTGTTCGCCAATCCCTCGAAACAAAAGGGGTATTACTTTTGTGGGCAGCAGTGAGCGACGAAGACACAGACAGATAGATAGATAAACACGAGAGACAGACAGGGACGGGCAAGAGAGAGGGGGTGGTGGGGGAGACCGCGTGGAGCAGAGAGCGAGAGAGAGATGGATGACCTTTCGTACCAGGTAAGAGGCCACTGAGGACAGAAGGCTGTGTTTTCAAAGGAGACTTTGGGTGTCTTTAAGAAAGAAAATTAGCACGAGCAGGAACCCCCCCCCCCCAAAAAAAAACCCCCACGGCATTAGTTACATTGGGGGAACCTATAGAACTTTAATCGGGGATCGTTAGACATTCATAGAGATGCCTCGAGTCGTACAGAGAGACCAATATGTAAACATAGACCCGGAGAATTACAAAGAAACCTATAGAGGTATGTATATAGAGCACAATAGGCATACGTAGAGACCCACAGAGTCACACAGAGACCAACAAACACAGAGAGCCATAGACCTGCATCTATTGCAATAGGTATAAGTAGAGACCCACAGAGTCACACAGAGACCAACAAACACAGAGAGCCATAGACCTGCATCTCTTACAATAGGTATAAGTAGAGACCCACAGAGTCACACAGAGA